CCCATACCCAACATCATAAATCTCTTGGGGCTTCTCGAGTGCCCCCTGGGCTTTCCAGTGGCGGCGCGTGAAGTGTTTGGGTCCAGGAGGGCCCCACGACGGGCCACGAGGGCCCCAAGAGGCCCCGAAGATGGCCCAAGAGTGCCCCGAGTCGCCGAAAGATCGGCCCAGATGGCCCCCAGACGGCCAACGAGGCCTCCAAGACCCCCCAAGGAGCCTCCAAGAGGCCTCCCAACAAGGCCACAAGATGCAAAAGCAGTGATGTTCCAAAGTTTGTCCGTTGTTGGCCTAATCGTCTCTTCGCCTCACCGACGCTTCAAGACTGCCCAAGAGGTCTCCAAGACCGCCCCAAGGCCGCCCAAGCTCCACCAAGACGGCCCCACGATAGCCCAAAAAGGGCCCAAAAGCGCCAAAGACGGGCCAAGAGGGTCGGCCCCAAGACAGCCCCAGAAGGGGCCCAAGAGGCCGACCGAACATCCGGCCCCAAGACAGCCCAAGACGCCACCAAGACGGCCCCAAGATGGCCCAAGAAAGCAAGAAAGGCGCCCACGACGGGCAAAGACGGGCCACGAGGCCGCAAAGGGAACACGAACCAAAAATCCCAGTCTTCGGCCCCAAGAGGCGGCCAGGAGACCCCCAGAGGCGCCCAGGAAGCTCTAATAGGGCCCCAAAGAGGCTCCAAGGGGCCCCACAGAGGCCCATCAGAGGCCCCAAGAGGTCCCAAAGCGGCCTCCAACTGCCTCCAAGAGGCCCCAGAGAGGCCTCCCACGGGATCCCAACGAACATCCAGTAGACAACCCAGGCACGGTGTCGGGATGGGCCGATCCACCGCCTCCTGTTGATTCATCACAGAGGTACCTGGCGTGCTAAACGTCTTAGGGGTTACTAGTTCTTTTGAGGATTCCCTCTGGGGCGTTGGCCCAGCGCGCCAGCCACCCTGAAAGCTCTTCCAGAGGCGGTTGCAAGGTTGTTCCTGCTCCAGATGGCTCCAAGATGACTCCAAGATGGCCTCCAAGACGGACAACGTGGCCTCCATGTTCGCCCAAGATGTTCCCAAGATGGTCCCAGGTGGCCGCCAAGACGGCCCAAGAGAGTCCAAGATGCCTCCAAGGTTGCCCAAGAAGCCTCCAAGACGGCTCAAGACGGCCCAGAGGCCCCCAAGAGGCCTTCTAGACGGCTCAAGAGGCCTCCAAGAGGTCCTGCAGTCGGGCCCGAAGAGGCCAAACTTAGTGATTTTTCGACACACACAACACATGAAGTTGGGATGCGCCTCAAAATGGGCGTCCGATGGTTCAAGACGGCTCAAGAGGCCCTAAATATTGCCCCAAGATCGCTCAAAATGTCTCCAAGATGGAACCAGAACGGCTCAAAAAGCTCCCAAGACGGCCCAAAAAGGGCCCCAAGACGGCCCAAGAGGCCTCGAAGACACCCAAGATCGGCTCCAAGACGACCCTGAAGCGCCCCAAGAAAGAACGGCCGGGGGAACGCATGGTCCAATAGCGTGGCAAAACTTTAAACCCAACATGTCAAGAGTATCTAGCGGCGCAGCCGGTGCGGGACATGAGGAAATATGGGCAATCCTGGGAATATTGGAGATCCTGGAACGTATCGTCATCATCATCATCATCATCATCATCATCATCATCATCATCATCATCAGCAGCAGCAGCAGCATCAGCAGCAGCATAATCATCATCATCATCATCATCATCATCATCATCATCATCATCATCATCATCATCATCACCATCGTCATCGTCATCGTCATCATTATCATCATCATCATCATCATCAGCATCATCATCAGCACAATCATCATCACCACCATCAGCATCAGCATCAGCATCAGCATCATCAGCATCATCATCATCATCATCATCATCTCATCATCATCTCATCCATCAGCATCTCCTTCTGCAGCATCATCAGCATCATATTCATCATCACCATCAGCATCATCAGCATCAGCCTCATCATCATCAGCATCATCATCACCAGCAGCAGCACCATCATCATCACCATCATCCTCACCGCCAGAATCGTCATCATCGGTATCAGCATCAGCATCAGCATCAGCATCAGATCAGCATCAGCATCAGCATCATCATCATCATCATCATCATCATCATCATCATCATCATGACCTCTTGCTCCTCTGATGTGTGCTTGGGCGCGCCCTCCAACCCGAACCCCCTCGCGCCCCTCGCCCCCCGCGCACCGCAGGTCCCTCTGGCGAAGGGCCACTGTGCGCACAGCCCGCGGGGTAGGCTTCGGCGGGAGGTGGGGGCGGACAAGGGGGGCGGCCAGGCCCGGCCAGGCAGGCGGGGGAGGAGGAGGAGGAGGAGGAGGAGGAGGAGGGGAGGAGGAGGAGGAGGAGGCGGAGGAGGAGGAGGAGGAGGAGGCGGAGGAGGAGAGGAGGAGGAGGAGGAGGAGGAGGAGGAGGAGGAGGAGGAGGAGGAGGAGGAGGAGGAGGAGGAGGAGGAGGAGGAGGAGGAGGGAGGGAATGTGGGCCCAGGGGGTAGGAGGGGGGGTTGGGGGGCATGTGCTGGGGGGGACGCGGGTGGGGCGCGAAAGCAGGAAGGGAGAGGGGGCGGAGAAAGGTTGAGGACAAGGGATTGTGGGCGCCCGCCTAGGCTAGGGTGGAACACTGCACCCATCGATTCACCACTGCCCAGCAAATTACAACACGGCCTGGGAGAACGTCTCCCAGGGATGTGCGCAAGGGAGGTGGATGAGGGAGGCAGGACAAGGGAGAGAGAAGGTTGTCGAGAGGAAGCGGAGGAGACGGAGAGACGAATTCATCGGACGGGATCTGCTGGAGCAGGAAGGGGTGGGGGCGAGGTGCAGGAGGAGGAAGAAGCGAGGAGGGGGGGCGCGGAATACGAACAGGGGGGCTGGGATAGGAGGGAGGAGGGAGGAGGGAGAGGTCGAGGGAGGAGTGGGAGAGGGCGAGGGAGGAGAAACGAGGGATGGATGGAGGGAAGAATGGTAGCACGGGCTCGGGTAGCAGAAGTAGTCGTGTCAGTTCAGTCAATCAATGATCAGAAGCAGGCGGAGGAGACACTCTGCCCCCGAGGTCGAACCTCCGTCCAGCATCCCATTCGACCGTATATGGCGGAGGACTCGAGGATCTTGCCCCAGGCGAGTATCATCATCTCTGGGGTAGCCACCTCCAAGGCTGTCCAAAAGGCTATCCTTCATTACAGGTCGCTCGAAACGCATGCTGAATGGGAGCGACCGAACCACACCAATGAAGTGAGGCCACCTTTGGGGTTGTGTAATGAAATCGACCCATACCGCGAATAGCCATCGCCACGCATCAACCGACTGATCGAATCGTGACGGCCCTGACCTCCAGCGCCATCACGCAGGTGAGCTCCGTGGGCAACAACTCCCCGAAGAAACGCTCGTAACCGCGTGCGCCGAACAACGCCTCGCCCTTGGCGGCGAATCCCTGCACCTGGGGGAACAATGAGTATAGTTTAACGGATCCCCATCCCCAGCGGCGTGGCCTGGACCCCAATGGTCGATGTACCCCCCTAGATCTCTAGATCGGGATATAGGCCGTGCCTTTCGGGCATCGAGGGGTGTATCCCCAACTGGGGTGGTAATTTGGTGGGGGTCTCGAAGGGAATGGGGATGGGGATGGGGATCGGTTAAACGATACCGAAACAAACAGGCACCGGCTCCGTTCCCCCCCGAGACCCCTCTCGGTCTCTCGGGGTGCGCTGAGCACATCCCGAGGCGCATGCCGCCGTGGCGACGACGAGGGAGTGGGCACGGGCACCCACAGGGGGGCAAACCATTACGTAAACAGAACAAGTCGGAGGTCCGCGCGGATTCCTCCGATCGGCACTGGGGCCCCCAGGAAGCGCCTCCGGCGCCGCCCCCGGCGCGCCCCGCGCGCCAGGGGTGGGGTCACAGCGTCGATCCCAGAAATCCCGGCGGACCTCCGAGCATGTATGCTTCTTGTCACCGTTTGGGGAGGCTTTCCTCTCCGAGGGAGCCCCCGAAGGACGCACGCGCCCGACCGCGCACAGGCCCAACCCAGCCCGCGAGGCCAGCCCTGTGGCACGCACGCTCGCGCCGTGCGCACTCTCGAGAACCCGGGTGACCTCACGAGCGTGCCCGCCTTTCCCTCGCTCCCGGGCTGAGGGGCAACGACAGGGGCGGGGGGAGACGGGGACAGGGGGGGTGCAGGAGGCCACGTGCGAACCCTGCCCCCCCCCCCACACGATTTCTGAGGGGGGGTTCACTTCGCTCGGGAGCCCCACCCTTCCCCTCAGAAATCGTGGGGGGCAGGGGCAGGGATCGCATGTGGCCCCCTAGGGGTGGGAAACATCGACCTGGAACCGGCGATACAGCGCCGATGGATCGGCGATGGGCCTCCCTTAGTGAATCCTCAGCCTCCTGAGCAGGTTGGGGCTATCGGGCCCCTACCTCGGGGGCGCGCAAACATGGATTAGCGATCCATGGATTTGGCGCGCGGTCGCCAAATCCATGGATCGGAGGAGGTGCCCTCGCCAAAGTGCGGCCCGTGCGGCCTCGACCGGCGGCGGAAACCCGCGATTTCCCGCGGAAACGGGACCCGTCGCTACTCCACGCCCCCTTGATCCATGTTTGCGATCGCCTGACTATCGGCGATCAGTGGGCGCTTGGGGGTCGATGCATCCCCCCCAATGAGCCTTATCCCCCCCCCCCCCCTATCGTTGCCCCCGCTGAACCCCCCCCTCCCCTGATGGGCCTGTTTTCCACACCATAAGTTGGAGGGGGAGGGGGTCCTCCTCCTCCTCCTCCTCCTCCTCCTCCTCCTCCTCCTCCTCTGCGTCCTCCTCCTCCTCCTCCTCCTCCTCCTCCTCCTCCTCCTCCTCCTCCACCTTCTCCCCCCTTCCAACTCATGATGGTGGTAGTGGTGGTCGAAAAAACGGGCCCATCATCCCCTGGGGCCACCAGGCCCGCGACGCCCGCCGCGTAGACGTCGAACGTCACGTGCGGGGTGCTCAGGACTGGGCTCCTCGGGGCGCCGCCGCCGCGGCGGCCTACCGCCCCCCTGGGGGGCTCGCACGCGCCAGGGGCAACGAGGCCATCGCGCGGGGCCCCAGCGGGGCAGCCCAAAGCAGGCCGAGAGCGCGCCGATTCAGCAGCGCGCCGAGTGCCAGTCGGCCTGGCCGCGGCACCTGTCAGAGCTGGCAGCGAGGAGGCGCGGTGGGGATGCGAGCCCCTTGAACGCGCATGTCGAGGCTCTTCGAGCGGGGCTGGCCATCGAAGGTGATGAAGGATGGGCCGAGGAGGCAGGGATGCGAGGGTGCACTAGCGGTGTCGAGTGTACTCCACACCGTTCCAGAAACAGCCCTTCATGATAGGAAGCCGCCAAACCCTAGCCCTCAAACATTGAGCTTCGAAAAAAAGTACAACACATTTTTTACGAAAGCGGGGACGTTTGTCCCAAGGCGGCTGCAACATGTATTTCCCCACGAGCCGCTGTCAGCGAAGGATCGATCAACGGTACGTGGCGTGATCTCCAAGCATGAAACCCGAAGGCAAGGGCAATTGAGACAACGGCGGCTGTCCCGCCCGGCCCACAAACGCTCAAAAATCGGTGCGTGGACCCCTCCCAGTGGATGGACCCATCTCTCGAAGCGGGCCGACGATGACTGGCCCTCCTACGATCCGAAACGTTCGGGACGTGGCCGGCCGATGTGCGGCCCATGCTGTGGCCCCCTCTGAATTAGTCGAGCATGATGTCATGATACGATTGGCCTAAGATGCGCTCCATGAGCACTGGACTACCCTGCGGCCCATCGTTTCTGCAAACTGTGTGGGTCATTCGGACATATCGGGAATCTTGGCACGCATCCTGACATGACCTCCTGTAGGGAACAGCCGAAGGACGCACGCGCCCACCCACATACATGAACACGGTCCCCAAATCCGTGAGACGGCCGCGTGATACGAACATTCGCGCAATGCATACTCTCGAAACCGACGTGGATTCATGTACGTGTACGTCCTTCTTTCGCTATTGATCGTGATCCTCTGACTCAGAGCGCCTCCCAGGGAAAGGCCACCGCTCCCTCGGCAAGGAGGCTGGCGCTCCAGGGCGCCGGTCGCCGGAGGAGAGGCCGATTACCAACCGAGCCGGCAACAAGACCGAAACCTCTCAATTTTCCTCAGAAGGTGCGGTACCGGCTACACGTAAGAGTGACCCTGGGCAAGAGTGACCTTTGATGCGCGACTTCACGGGGGGCGTGGGGGGACCAAACACGAGCGCACAAGACGACACTATCGCATCGCGTTCGGCGACAAGGGGGGCCCGCTGGGCCCACACCACCTGCTTACTTGTTGGGAGGTCCTGTTTACTTTTTGGCAGGTCCTGTTTACTTTGTGGGACTTCCGACCTATTATTTGGGATGGTCCTGTTTACTTGTTGGGAGGTCCTGCTTACTTTTTGGGAGGTCCTGCTTAGTTTTTGGCAGGCTTTGTTGAATGTGAGGGAGGTCCTACTTACTTTTTGGGATGGTCCTGTGTACTGTTTGGGAGATCCCGTTTAGTTGTTAGGAGGTTATGTGAACTGTTTGGCAAGTCCTGTTTACTTTGCGGGAGGTGCTGCATACCTGTTCGCAGGTCATGCTCACTTTGTGGGACGTCCTACTTACTGTTTTGGGTGGTCTTGTTTACGTTTTGGGAAGTACTGGCGCCCACGTGGTCGCGATGCCCATGTCGGCGTAGACGCCCCTCGTCATGAACATTTGCATGCTGAGGGCCATGGCCAGGTGCTCCTCCCCACCTATCATTTTGAATTCCCATGGGGCGGTGGCTTCCTGCTTCCCCGGGGCCGCGCTCATCTTCCCTCATAGCAAAATCATTGATTTTACGAAGGTTTGGGGCTCAATTTGTTCTTCTCAGGGGGCAGCTCTCCTTTGCGCTTCTGCGGAGGTCGCAAGAGGCCCCAAGATGGCCCCAAGAGGCTTCCAGGAGGCTCTAAAGAGGCCTCCCAGAGGCCCCCCAGAGGCCCCCAAGCGGTCCCAAGAGGCCTCCAAGAGCCTCTCCAGAGGCTCCCAAGAGGCCTCAAGAGAGCCCAAGAGGCCCCCAAGGGGCTCCCTAGAGGCCCCCGAGAGGCCCCCAAGAGGCCCCAAGAGGCTCCAAGACGCCCCCAAGAGACCCCACGAGGAGCCCGAACGACTCACACCAGGACGAGGGGGCCCGAACGACTCACACCAGGACGAGGCGCCCGAACGACTCACACCACGAGGAGCCCGAACGACTCACACCACGACGCGGACCTCGAACGACTCACACCACGAGGAAGGAGGAACAGGGGAGATATGCGGGGCCAAGCGGACACACGCCTGAAAAACACGACTGTCGGCATGCTTCGCGAGAGTTGCTGCTGTGAGATGGGCTGGTGGGGATACGCGAAGCGTAAAGAATTCCCATGGGGCGGTGGCTTCCTGCTTCCCCGGAGCCGAGCACTGCCCCCGGGCGCCCGGAAACAACAAGGGCACTGGGGAGATCTGTGCTGTGCTCGCAGACATGTTTTGGGCCACGTAAGAGATATTGGAACCTCCTTGGGCGCCTTTCAGACCGCCTTAGAAGCTGTCAAACATGAAACACGGAATCCCGAGAATGGTGTTTTGGCAGGCCTCAGGATCTTCAAACAGCTGTATTCCAACGGGGCACTTCCCTCAGTGGAAATGAATCCATGTAGGAGCCTATGAAGAGGAAGCTTGCAGGGAGGGGTTATCCAAACATCGCTCAGGAGCCTTGGGCTTCCACTGGTCACTATTCCTCCTCCTCGTCCTGCCCCCTCCTCCTCCTCCTCCTCCTCCTCCTCCTCCTGCTCCTCCTTCTCATTCTCCCCTCTACCTCCCAGCTCATCCCTCCTCTTTTTCGCCTCCCTCTGACTGTCCATACTTCTCCACCTGCTCCTCCTCATCCTGCTTCTCCTCCTCCTCCTCCTCCTCCTCCTCCTCTGTCCTCCCCTGCTCCTGGCCAGGCCCCATCCCGGAACATAACTAGGCAAGAGAGGTCGCGTGCACCAGACCTGGGCCCTGGGCAGGCCCAGCCGGGAACGGTGCAGCTATGTAGGTGGCGTCCTCCGCCCCCATTCGCGCCTCCCCCCCTCCTCCCTCCTCCTCGCTCCTTCACCCGCTCCGATCCCCGCCCCCCCCGCCCGCCACTCCTCATCCTCCTCCCGTCTCCTCCTACTCCTCCTCCTCCTCGTCCTCCTCCTCCTCCTCCTCCTCCTCCTCCTCCTCGTCCACTCTTTCCTCCTCCTCCTCCTGCTGCTGCTTTCTCTTGTTCGTCGTCCTCCTTCTACCGCCCCCTGGCCCCCCCTTTCCTGTCCTTTCCAGCCTACTCCTCTCTGCTCCTCCTCCTCCATCCTCCCTCCTCGCAGGCACCCCCGATGTAAAACTGCCCCCGAAGCCCCCCCCCCCGATTTCACCTTCTTTGCTTCCGGGCTCCGCTGCCCAGCGGACTCCACAAGCCCGCGGCTCAGCACGCAGAAGGGCGGGGCGCCACCTGAAGCGAGGGAAACTTACCACGAAGTTTCGGTTTGGAAGGGGGGGATCGGAGGCTCTGGGGCCCCAGGACCAGTTTCAAGCAGCTGCGCCTGGCCGAGGGCTGTCTGGGGTCCACGGAGGCGTCTCGAATAGCCCTCTCTGCCCCACGAATGGCCACAACCACCTGCGCCGACGTCCTCGATGGAACGAATAGCTCAGAGCTCGGCGGGGTGGCGGGCCCTTTTATTGTCCCTGGCCGCCGCCGCCGCCGGCGGGCTCGTGGGGGACCAGCGCCAGCGCCATGGGCTCGAGGTCTGCGAGGTCCGCGAGGCGGCTGGAGGAGGCGAGGGGGCGAGACGGAAGAGGGGTCGGGAGGAGGAGACGGGGAGGACGCGGGGCGCTGCAAGTCCAAAACGAGGACCCGGCACCGCGGGATGGTCGGGCATGATCAGACACAAAACAACGCCAGGCCACGCAATGCGTCGCAATGACAAATGAGGACCCCCCGATCCCCCCTGAGGATGCCCCTACGATCCAGCGAAATGGGGCACAATCGCCACTGACCCTCTTGCAGAAAAAGAAATCAAAACATCTGAGGCGAAGGCTAGACCTGGAAAACAAAATATCGGGAAGGTAACCCCACCTGGCTTTCCTAGTCTTGCGGCATGCAAGAAATACGCTGCAAAACTAACCTGTGCAACGATCTGCCGTGCCAAGGCCCTGCTTGACATGTTCATCTGTTCTGCCATGCTGACGTCATGCGAATTACGCGCTTTGCATTATCGCGGATGCCAGGCCACACCACGTAATCCTACAAAATATTTGGACCCCCAAGGGACCACCCAAGGCCCTGGCGGGACGACTGCCACTCGCCACTGTTGAAGGACCAACGGGGACCCGGCGAGACGACTGCCAATCACTACCTCCTCTCTTGCACACATAGTTTTAGCGCCCTTCTGGCAGGACATAAGGGAAACGGTCCTGAAGAGAAGGGACCCTGGACCGGGGGCTTATCCCCGGACGGGTCGTTGCATAATGCATCACCTTTCATGGTCCTCGGGTCTGGGAAGAGAAATCCGAAAACGGCTACTGATGGGCCGATTTCCCACAACCACTACCATATGTAGGAGGAGGAGGAGGAGGAGGAGGAGGAGGAGGAGGAGGACCTCCCCATCCTCCCTTTTGTCCCCCGTCCTGCCTATGGCAGTGGTGGTGGAAGCTTGGCCCACCAGTTCAAACCTCAGATCCCCTCTCCGTCCGGGCCTCCCCGTGCGAGCCCAGACTTGCTGCATCCACCGCCTGCGGGGCCGCTGCCCCAGGACCCCATAGGGGGGCGGCGGATCTGGACCTCTTGGAGCCCGCGGGAGCCCGCATTCCCGCCCCCCCGAGGTCTAGGAAGCTCGCCCCCCCCCCCCCCCCTGGCGGTGGACACTGGCGATTTCGAGAACCCTGAACCCGAAAACGTTTTCGTCGCCTGGGGGCGCATATTTTACTTTCCGCCGCCTTCCGCCGAGCTTCCGCCAGCGGAGGCGGCCTCGTTTTACTGCCGCCGACCTTCCGCCGCCGTCTGCCGAGGAAGAGATTACATCTCCTTCTGTCCTTGAAGGCAAGGCCACTTTTGGAACGCTGCGACATCCCAGCCTCGGACCTGTGTGGGGCCAGCCAGAGTCGCTGCAGGGGCTGGTGACTGCCCGCTGCACGGGGCCAGGCGAGTCCAGCATCGAATCGAGAAGTCAGATCGGCGATCGAAATGAATCGTATCGGCCGAACTCGTCAGCCAAGCCGGCAAAATTGAGTCGGCGGAGATCGGAGACCAGATCGGAATCCGAAGTCGGATCGAATCAGCATCGGAAACCATCGAAATATAATCGAACCGAATCGGACAGGTCGAGACGAGCCCTGCATGGGGCTAGGTCGGACCTGTCCCCCTACAGGCGGATTTTGGACGACAGATTTGTTCTAAATTATATTTGCGCGTTTATATTAAAATACCCAACCTGGTATTGTCACGAACGCCGACCTTGGAGGACAAGTGGGCGAGAAAAATTTGCGAGACAAAGAAATCGAAGATGAGGATGCCTACAGGACGCATTCTGCTGATTCCCGTGTTGTCCGTTTGACGCTGTGCCGCTTTGTCGAGGCGCCTCCAGCCGTCGTGGGGCCCTCTTGGGGCTGTCCTGAGGCCCTGCTGGGCGCTTCTGGGGCTTCCTGGATGCGTGGTGAGGTCTTGAGGCTTGTTGGGGTCGTCTTGGGGGCCTCCTGGGGCCTCCTCAAGTCTTTCAGCAGTCCTGGCGCCCTCCTGAGGGAGTCCCCGGGCTGTCCGTTCGTCGCTCTGACGCTTTGTCGAGGCGCTGCCAGCAGTCCTGGGGTCTTGGGGCAGTCCTGGGGCGCTCTTGGGAGCTTATGGGGGCTTCCTGGAGGCATCTTGAGGTCTTGACGCATCTTGGGGTCTTCTTGGAAGTCTCTTGGGGTCTCATCAGGTTCCCCTGTTGTCAGTTTGAGAAAGTGGGGCTTTGTTGAGGAACCGCCAGCCGTCCTGGGGTTATCTGTGGGCATTGCTGCGCCAATCTTGGGCGCTTTGGGGGGCTTGCTGGAGGCCTCTGGAAGGTTCTTCGGGGCCTCTTGGGGCCTCTTCAGGGGTTATTGGGGCCTCTTGGGAACTTCTTGGGAGCTTCTGGGGGCCTCTGGAGGGGTTATTGAGGCGGAGAACCCGAAACCTCGGATTTCGTCGGAGGTTATGTCGGGAACGTTTCTGAAGAAAAGGTGGCCAAGAAAACGACGATGCGTCTTGGAAGTGGGCTCAGCACGCGACTAGGCGAGTTACGAGGTGAGCTCAGCACGTGTCCATGCGAGCCACATGGAAGGGAGGGGGTGAGCTCAGCTCGCGACCACGGGAGTCACGAGGTGAGCTCAGCACGTTTCCATGCGAGCCACAGGGACGGGAGGGGGCGGGGTTGCATATGTCGGGCGAGAAAATTGAGCTTGGAGGATCTGGGGGCTCCTGGGGGCCGTCGGGCTTGGTTGGCGGGGCCGTGTCTGACTGTATGAGGACTGGATTGGACAACTTGCGGCGGTCGGGGGCCGCATGCGGCCGTATTGAAGTCTCCTGGAGGCTTCTTGTAGGGCTTTCTGGAAATACGAAAAGTCGCTGGGGGTTTCTCTGCGACAGCTGTCCAGAGGGAACGGCGGCCAGAAAAACAACGGTGCGTCTTGGAGGTGAGCTCAGAACGCGACCATGCGAGCCACGGAGTGAGCTCAGCACGTTTCCATGCGAGCCCAGAGGAGGAAGGCCAAGGTGCGCATGACAATGGTTCCCGTGTGGTCCGACTGACGCTGTGCTGCTTAACGCGCATTGCATGGGTTCCCGTGTTGTCCGTTTGACGCCGTGACGCTTAGTCGAGGCGCCTCCAGCCGTCGTGGGGCCCTCTTGGGGCTGTCCTGAGGCCTTGTTGGGCGCTTCTGGGGGCTTGCCGGAGACCTCCTAAAGTGAGCTCAGGAAAGTTCCGCACGAGCCGTGAAGTCCCGGGGCCTCCTCACGTCCTTCTGCCGTCCTGGGGCCCTCCTGACTACCTACCAAACCACCCCAACCAAACCCGAAGGCCCGAATTTCGGGTTGGAGGGGGTAAGGGTTCCATACGTGTTTTTTCGATGTTCCGCGACCCCCCCCCCACTGGGTGGTGACCTCCTGAGGGAGTGGTTTGGGTTGGTAGGTTGGGTTGGGTTGGGGTGGTTTGGTGGGTGGTGACCTCCTGAGGGAGTCCCGGGGCTGTCCGTTCGTCGCTCTGACGCTTCGTCGCGGCGCTTCCAGCAGTCCTGGGAGCTTGGGGCAATCCTAGGGGCTATCTTGGGGGTTTGTCGGGGCTCTATGGAGGCGTCTTGAGGTCTTGAGGCCTCTTGGGGTCTTCTTGGGCGTCACTTGGGGCCTCATCAGGTTCCCGTGTTGTCCGTTTGACGCTGTGAGGCTTTATCGAGGCCTGGGGCTCTCATGGCGCAGTGCTCGGCCCATCTTGGGCGCTTTTGGATGCTTGCTGGATGCCTCTGGAGGGTTCTTGGGGGCCTCTTGGGGCCTCTGCAGGGGTTATTGGGGTCTCTTGGGGGCTTCTTGGGAACCTCTGGGGTCTTCTGGAGGGGTCATTGGGGCAGCGAACCCGAAAAATCGGCCCCTGCCTCCGCTCCATGGGGCTCTCTTGGGGCGTGCCTGGGGCGCTTGTGAGGCTGCCTTGGAAGCCTCGTGGGTCGTCTTGGGGACGTCTTGGGCCGTGTGAGCGCTCTCTTGGGGGTCTCTGAGGCTGTCTTGGGGCGTTCTTTGGGACCTCTTGGGGCGTCTTGGAGCGGCGGGAAGCCGAACAGGCGAAAACCCTCCACAAAACCTTCAAAAACCTAAGGACAACTAATGATTGTTGCTGTTTCGTGCTCTCCTGGAAAGCCTTTTGGGGGCCTCTCGGGGCGTCTTTTGAACTCCCTGTGACATCGGGACGCCATATTGGGCGTTTCTGGGGGCTTCTGGAGGGTCCACTGGGGAGGAGAACCCGAAAAATCTGCCCCTGCCTCCGCTCCGGGGGCTCTCTTGGGGCGTGCGTGGAACACTTGTGAGGCCGTCTTGGAGGCCTCTTGGGTCTTCTTGAGGACGTCTTGAGCCGTCGGAGCGCTCTGTTGGGGTCTCTGAGGCTGTCTTGGGGCGTTCTTTGGGACCTCTTGGGCCGTCTTGGAGCGGCAGGAAGCCGAACAGGCGAAAACCCTCCACAAAACCTTCAAAAGCCCAAGGAACACTAATGATTTTTTCTGTTTCGGGCTCTATTGGAAAGCCTTTTGAGGGCCTTTCGGGGCGTCTTTTGGGCTCCCTGGACGCTGGGACTCCATATTGGGCGTCTCTGAGGGCTTCTGGAAGGGTAACTGGGGCGGAAAACCCGAAACATCGGCCCCTGCCTCCGCTCTGGGGGCTTTCTTGGGGCGTGCCTGGAACACTTGAGAGGCCGTCTTGGAGGCCTCTTGGGTCGTCTTGAGGACGTCTTGAGCCGTCTGAGCGCTCTCTTGGGGGTCTCTGAGGCTGCCTTGGCGCGTTCTTAGGAGCCTCTTGGACCGTCTTGGAGCGGCGGGAAGCCGAACAAGCGAAAACCACAAAAACCTTCAAAAACCGGAGGGATAACTAATGCTTGTTTATGCTTCGGGCTCTCCTGGAAAGCCTCTTGGGGCGTCTTTTGGGCTTCTTGGGAAGTCGGGGCACCATAGTGGGCGTCTTGGGCCGATCTTTCGGCCATTCGAGGCGTTTTTGAACCATCTTGTGGACCATCTTGGGGACGTCCGTGCCTCTCGGAAGCGCGTCTGCGGAAATGGGGCCGTGTCCTGCCGTCTTCCGCCTGCGTTCCGCCCGTGGCCGGGGCCATCTCCCAGGGGGTCCCCCCAAACCCCCCCAGGGGAACACTAAACGGGAACCCCTCCGCCAGGTCGCGGAAAAATGCGCGAAAATAATCGAAAAAGCGTCCCCAGACTATTCTTTGACTATCTTTGAATACCCCTTCTGTAGCGGGACAGGCCCGACTGAAGCATGGGGGCTCCCTCCCGCCCGCCGAGCCTGGCCAGCCGCCCGAGGTTCAGCAGCAGCGGGAGCCACAGCACCAGCGTCCAGGCGCAGGCGCCCTCCGGGGGCTGGGGGCCCGCCCAGGGCTTCGCAGATCGATGGAGCTTCGATCGCTCTGCGAGTCGGATGGGCGGGGGCGCTCGGTCACAACTTCCGGGGCCGATTTTGAACCTGATCTTGTCACGAACCCCGACCTTGGAGGACAAGTAGGCGTGAATTGCGAGACAGAGAAAAACGAAGTAGAGGATGCCTATAGGACGCATTATGCTGGTTCCCGTGTTGTCCGTTTGACGCTGTGTCGCTTTGTCGAGGCGCCTTGGGCCGTCGTGGGGCCCTCTTAGGGCTGTCCTGAAGCCCTGTTGGGCTCTTCTGGGGGCATGCTGGAGACATCCTAAGGTGAGGTCAGGAAATTGCCATACGAGCTAGGAAGTCTCGGGGCTGTTAGTTTGTCGCTGTGAGGCTTTGTCGAGGCACTTCCAGCAGTCATGGAGTCGTGGGGCAGTCCTGGGGCCCTCTTCGGCGCTTCTGGGGGCTTCCTGGATGCGTGGTGAGGTCTTGAGGCTTGCTGGGGTCGTCTTGGGGGCCTCTTGGGGCCTCCTCAGGTCCTTCAGCCGTCCTGGCGCCCTCCTGAGAGAGTCCCGGGCCTGTCCGTTTATCGCTCTGACGCTTTGTCGAGGCTCTTCCAGCAGTCCTGGGGTATTGGGGCAGTCCTGGGGCCCTCTTGGGAGCTTCTGGGGGCTTCCTGGAGGCGTCTTGAGGTCTTGAGGCATCTTGAGGTCTTCTTGGGGGTCTCTTGGGGTCTCATCACGTTCCCGTGTTGTCCGTTTGACGCTATGAAGCTTTGTCGAGGAACCGCCAGCCGTCCTGAGGTTATCTTGGGGCAGTGCTGCACCCACCTTGGGCGCTTCTGGGGGCTTGCTGGAGGCCTCTGGAAGGTTCTTGGGGGGCCTCTTGGGGCCCCTTCAGGGGTTATTGAGAACTTCTTGGGAGCTTCTGGGGGCCTCTGGAGGGGTTATTGGGGCGGAGAACCCGAAACCTCGGATTTCGTCGGAGGTTGCGTCGGGAACGTTTCTGAAGAGAAGGTGGCCAAGAGAAAGACGATGCGTCTTGGAAGTGGGCTCAGCACGCGTCTAGGCGAGTTGTGAGGTGAGCTCAGAACGTGTCCATGCGAGCCACATGTAAGGGAGGGGGTGAGCTCAGCTCTCGACCATGCGAGTCACGAGGTGAGCTCAGCACGTTTCCATGCGAGCCACAGGGAAGGGAGGGGGCGCGGTTGCATATGACGGGCGAGAAAATTGAGTTTAGAGGATCTGGTGGCTCCTGGGGGCCCTCGGGTTTGGTTGGAGGTTGTGTCGGGGACGTGTCTGACTGTATGAGGACTGGATGGGGCAACTTGCGGCGGTCGGGGGCCACATGCGGCCGTATTGAAGACTCATGGAGGCTTCTTGTAGGACTTTCTGGCAATACGAAAAGTCGGGTGGGGTTTCTCTGCGACAGCTGTGTCCAGAGGGAAAGGCGGCCCAAAAAAACAACGGTGCGTCTTGGAGGTGAGCTCAGCACACGACCATGCGAGCCACGAAGTGAGCTCAGCACGTTTCCATGCGAGCCACCGGGAGGAGGGGGGTCGCGGGTTCACATGGCGAGCGGGCAGAGGGAGTGCGAGGGCTGTCCACAAAAATTGCCGGCGGAAAAAATGATGGTGCGTCTTGGGGGCGAGCTCAGCACGTGGCCATGCGAGTCATGAGGTGAGCTCAGCACGTTTCCATGCGAGCCGCCGGGAGGAGTGGGGTCGCGGGTTCGGCCTCCGGGGGGCTTCCTGGGGGGCTATGTGGGGATCTGAACGGTGGCTTGGGGTTCCTGCGCCAAAGGTGTCCAGAGGGAAAGGTGGCGAAAGAGACGACGGTGCGTCTTGGAGGTGAGCTCAGCACGCGACCATGCGAGTCCGGAGGCGAGCTCAGCACGTTTCCATGCGAGCCCAGCAGAGGATGGCTCGCACGCAGATTACATGGGTTCCCGTGTTGGCCGTTTGCCGCTGTGACGCTGTGTGGAGGCGCCTCCAGCCGTCATGGGCCTCTGTTGGGGGAGTACTGGGGCCCTCTTGGGTGCTTCTGGGGGCTTCCTGGAGGCCTCTTGAGGCTTCTTGGGGCTCCTTTGGGGCCTCGGGGGTGTCGCTCCGTTTGCCGCTGTGACGCTGTGTCGAGGCGCCTCCAGCCGTCCTGGGGATCTATTGGGGCAGTCCTGGGGTCCTCTTGGGCGCTCCTCAGGCCTTCCTGGAGGCCTCGTGAGGCTTATTGGGGCTCCTTGGAGCCTCGGGACGCCATCCTGGGCGTCTGGGCCGCTCTTTCGGCGACTCGAGGCCTTCTTGGTCCATCTTGTGGACCATCTTGGGGCCGTCCGTGCCTCCTGGAAGCGCGTCTGCAGAAATCGGGCCGTGAGCGGCCGTCTTCCGCCGACTTCCGCCGGCGTTCCGCCCGTGGCCGGGGCCATGTCCCAAGGGGTTCCCCCCCAGACCCCCCAGGGGGACACTAAACGGGAACCCCTCCGCCAAAGCGGGGAAAAAAAATTCTGGAATCCATTTTGAAAAAATCCGGATTTCAGAACACTTCAGATGCCCTCGGCGGCGGGCGCATTCCACCCAACAAAACTGTTCTTTGCAAATTTCCGGACTCATTTTTGTGCCGAATCGGTCGAGTCCCGTCGATCTGCGAAATTCGCTCGACCTGCCGAATCTGACACTCAGCCCCGCAGGAGGGGGATGAGCGCCTCCTGTAGAGCGCGCCGTCGAGCCGATCGGTGCCACAGGCGGGCGCCCGCGGGCGTCGTCGGATCGGCGCGCGGTGGGGAAACCAGAGGGCACCGATACCGCTACTCCCCCTGAATCTCTCTCGGGGCATCTTGTGACTAAGATTTCGAGGCGAGTCCAGCCTGGGCGACGAGGGGCTCCCGGGAGGCCAGCGAATGCGAAAACGAGGCAGGGGGGGCAAGATTGGCAATTGCCCTGTCCTCCCCTGGCCTCGACGTGGGGGCCCCCTCCGCCGGCCCGCGGGCGGGGGCCTCCTCCGAGAGGGAGCAACAACTGCATAAACAATAAAGAGCTCTCGACGGCCCGTGAGGATGTCTTGGGTCTGCGCTGGGCCCCCCGTGCTTGGCGGCGACGGAGGTGCCGCCAGGGGGGTCCAACGCAGATCAAAAATCCGCGAGGAGCTCCAAAAGTTTATATGTCCACGGAAGGGAGGAAAGGGAGGACCATGACAAAGACTGAACGCGAAAACGTCGTGCCGATCTTGGTCGCTGTCGATCTTGATCAGCGCGAATTCGTGGATAATCCTCGCGGGTTGGGCAACGACCGACATAGACCATGACCCAGATCCACAACGACACGACCCCGCGACATCTTGGTCATGGTCCCCGTGCTTTTTCCCTTGAGCTGATGCTGCTGCTGGTTCATACTTTTCGGGCGGCGCGCACGGGGGGGTAGAGGTGAGGGGGGGGACTTTCCTCAGAAGGAGACTGCTTCTTAGAAGGCGCTGGCCTTACGTTTGGAGACAAGGCCCGCGCCTTCTAAGAAGCAGCCCCCTTCTAAGAACCCTCCCCCCCATTGAGCATCGTTTAACCGATCTCCATCCCAGCGGCGTGGCCTGGGCCCCACTTGCCAATCTACCCCCCTAGATGGGGACATAGGTCGTTCCCTATCCCCAACATTGGGGGGGGGGGGGAAATTTGGTGGGGGTCTCGAAGGGGATGGAGATGGGGATGGGGATCGGTTAAGCGATACTGACCATACCCCCCTCCGCGCGTGGCTGAACTTTGTTCTGTCTCGACCCTCCGCCTCCAGGCCGGCTCCCCGCAGCGCCCAGGCCGCGGAGACCGCGAGGCCGCTGGCGCCCGCCTCCAGGTCGGCGGGGCGCTGGATGTCGACGCTCAGGAGCCGCGCGTTCTCCTGCAGGGGCCGCGAGGGGGTCCGCCCGTGTGTAATAGCTGCGCGGTTCCGATGTCAGGAAACAGCTCCTGGGATATCTCCATAAGAAATACCGTAGCACCTCGCAGTTGCGGATAAGAGTGAGGGGGCGGCGGGTACGTCGGCAGTCTGCGAGGCTCTGAAGAAGCCCGTCGCAGGCGCATAATTTTTCAAGCTATAAAACGATTCCGCCGCAAGCGACGATTTTTTTTAACAATATGGGTGGTTCACGGGTTGGGTCGCATGTGGGTCGACGGTGGGTCGCGGGTGGGTCGCGGGCCGAGTCGCGGGTGGGTCGCGGGTGGGTCGCGGGTGGGTCTCGGGTGGGTCGCGGGGTGGTCGCGGGGTGGGTCGCGGGGTGGGTCGCGGGTGGGTCGCGGGTGGGTCGCGGGTGGGTCGCGGGTGGGTCGCGGGTGGGTCGCGGGGTGGGTCGCGGGTGGGACGACGACAACAAACAACAACAACGCAACAAGCAGAATCCTCACCACGGATTCTCACTTTAACCACGCACCCAGAGACAATGAATGACCGTTCGGACCCCTCACTCTGATTGAAGGCCGTTGGGCCAAATTGGGCCGGAGTCAGCGGTGGATTGAGCCGAATTGAGCGGGAGGAAGCCGGACTCAGCGGATTCTTGGACAGATCAGGCCTGTTTTCAACCATGGGCATACCAACGCCGATGCTGGATTCACCCTCCCAGGAGTTGCATCCTAAGCAGTGCCAGCCCGGCAGGCTTGTGTCGTAGCAGCTGCCGCCTTGATGGAGGCTCCCGCCGTCGAACCCCCCAGCTCTCAGGAGGCCCCTCCTTCGGGCGTGCCATCCAACAACGCTGTCGACACTCTGTTACGATAACATTACCTGCAGCCCAGGCCGGTCTTGTAATGACGGCCGCAAGGTAAAGGATATGAGACCCTTCGGCGTCCAAGTTGCAACAATTGGCCAGCGAGTCGTTTGGGCAACGCACGGGATAACTAGGATTCGATGTATCCGTGTGCGAGGGTATCCTCGTGGGGGTCCACCGCTGTCCGGAGAACACACCCTCTCCCCTCTCCATTTGGGAGAAATCCGAGGGAACGATTAACTCTAGTAAGCCCGATTAGGGAGGCTGTTAAAACGGATTGCAATGGAGTGCGCACGATTGCAGCAAGCAGACTGAACCAGGGTTGGCCAGGTGGAGCGGGACTGTGGCGGATCAGGCCCAAGGAGGAACTTGCGCCGGTGCTGAATTGGACCTCCCAGGAGTTGCAATCCGATTCCCTCTTCTCCTGCACCAGCGTTGCCTCTGCAGCCCAGGTCCGCCTGAGCGCGTCCCACCATGCGGCCTCCGCCCCGGTGTTCTGCCGCGACAGCCTCCCCGCGCCCAGGACGCACAGCCCCTGGCCGCTCGCCGGAGCCGCCGGGGGGGGAGGCGGAGACTCCGCGCGCGAGATGGCAGCGGCGGCCAGTGCTGCCACCTGTGCGGCGGGCCGGCCTACCATGGTTCGGGCACGTGATCGGCCACCGAAATGCTGCATCCCCAACCTGATATTGTCACGAAACCCGACCTTGGAGGACAAGTGGGCGTGAATTGCGAGACAGAGAAAAACGAAGAAGAGGATGTCCATAGGACGCGATCTGCTGGTTTCCGTGTTGTCCGGTTGACGCTGTGACGCTTTGTCGAGGCGCCTCCAGCCGTCGTGGGACCATCTTAGGGCTGTCCTCCGGCCCTGTTGGGCGCTTCTAGGGGCTTGCCGGAGACCTCCTAACGTGAGCTCAGGAAATTGTAATACGAGCTAGGAAGTCTCGGGGCTGTCCGTCTGTCGCTGTGAGGCCTTGTCGAGGCACTTCCAGCAGTCCTGGAGTCGTGGGGCAGTCCTGGGGCCCTCTTGGGTGCTTCTGGGGTTTCCCGGCGGCGTGGTGAGGTCTTGGGGCTTGTTGGGGTCGTGTTGGGGGCCTCTTGGGGCCTCCTCAGGTCCTTCAGCCGTCCTGGCGCCCTCCTGAGGGAGTCCCGGGGCTGTCCGTTTGTCGCTCTGACGCTTCGTCGAGGCGCTTCCAGCAGTTCTGGGGTCTTGGGGCAGTCGTGGGGCCCTCTTGGGAGCTTCTGGGGGCTTCCTGGAGGCGTCATGAGGTCTTGAGGCATCATGTGGTTTTCTTGGGCATCACTTGGGGTCTCATCACGTTCCCGTGTTGTCCGTTTGACGCTGGGAGATTTTGTCGAGGAACCACCAGCCGTCCTGGGGTTATCTTGGGGCAATGCTGCGCCCATCTTGGGCGCTTCTGGGAGCTTGCTGGAGGCCTCTGGAAGGTTCTTGGGGGCCTCTCGGGGCCTCTGCAGAAGTTATTGAGGCCTCCTGGAGGCTTCTTGGAAACCTCTGGGGGCCTCAGAAGGGGTCATTGGGGCAGAGAACCCGAAAAATCGGCCCCTGCCTCCGATACGGGGGCTCTCTTGGAGGGCCTCTTCAGGGGTTATTGGGGCCTCTTGGGAATTTCTTGGGAACCTCTGAGGGCCTCTGGAGGGGTTCTTGGGGCGGAGAATCCGAAACCTCGGATTTCGTCGGAGGTTGCGTCGGGAACGTTTCTGAAGAAAAGGTGGCCAAGAAAACGACGATGCGTCTTGAAGTGGGCTCAGCACGCGACTAGGCGAGTTACGAGGTGAGCTCAGCACGTGTCCATGCAAGCCACATGGAAGGGAGTGAGGTCAGCTCGCGGCCATGCGAGCCACAGGGATGGGAGGGGGCGCGGTTGCAGATGACGGGCGAGAAAATTGAGTTTGGAGGATCTGAGGGCTCCTGGGGGCCGTCGGGTTTGGTTGGAGGTTGTGTCGGGGACGTGTCTGACTGTATGAGGACTGGATTGGACAACTTGCGGCGGTCGGGGGCCGCATGCGGCTGTATTGAAGCCTCCTGGAGGCTTCTTGCAAGGCTTTCTGGCGGTACGAAACGTCGCTTGGGGTTTCTCTGCGACAGCTGTCCAGAGGGAAAGGCGGCCATAAAAAACCACGGTGCGTCTTGGAGGTGAGCTCAGAACGCGACCTTGCGAGCCACGGGGTGAGCTCAGCACGTTTCCATGCGAGCCCAGAAGGGGAAGGCCAAGGTGCGCATTACATTGGTTCCCATGTGGTCCGACTGACGCTGCGCTGCACAACGCGCATTACATTGGTTCCCGTGTTGCCCGTTTGACGCCGTGACGCTTTGTCGAAGCGCCTCCAGCCGTCGTGGGGCCCTCTTGGGGCTGTCCTGAGGCCCTGTTGGGCGCTTCTGGGGACTTGCCGGAGACCTCCTACGGTGATCTCAGGAAATTGCCGTACGAGCCAGGAAGTCCCGGGGCTGTCCGTTTGTCGTTCTGACGCTTGGGGGCCTCTCGGGGCCTCCTCAGGTCCGTCAGCCGTCCTGGCGCCCTCCTGAGGGAGTCCCGGGGCTGTCCGTTTGTCGCTCTGACGCTTCGTCGAGGCGCTTCCAGCAGTCCTGGGGTATTGGGGCAGTCCTGGGGCCCTCTTGGGAGCTTCTGGGGGCTTCCTGGAGGCGTCATGAGGTCTTGAGGCATCATGTGGTTTTCTTGGGCGTCACTTGGGGTCTCATCACGTTCCCGTGTTGTCCGTTTGACGCTGTGGGGCTTTGTCGAGGCGCCTCCAGCCGTCCTGGGGCTCTCTTGGGGCCGTGCTCGGCCCATCTTGGGCGCTTCTGGAGGCTTGCTGGAAGCCTCTGGAGGGTTCTTGGGGGCCTCTTGGGGCCTCTGCAGGGGTTATTGGGGCCTCTTGGGGGCTTCCTGGGAACCTCTGGGGGCCTCAGGAGGGGTCATTGGGGCAGAGAACCCGAAAAATCGGCCCCTGCCTCGGCTACGGGGGCTCTCTTGGGGCGTGCCTGCGGCGCTTTTGAGGCTGTCTTGGAGGCCTCGTGGGTCGTCTTGAGGACGTCTTGGGCCGTCTGAGCGCTCTCTTGGGGGTCGCTGAGGCTGTCTTGGCGCGTTCTCTGGGACCTCTTGGGCCGTCTTGGAGCGGCGGGAAGCCGAACAGGCGAAAACCCCCCAAAGCGTCAAAAACCCAAGGACAACTACAATTGTTCAACGCTTCGGGCTCTACTGGAAAACCTTTTGGGGGCCTCTCGGGACGTCTTTTGGGCTTAGGACGTCGGGACGCCATATTGGGCGTCTCTGGGGGCTTTGGGAGGAGTCTTTGGGGCGGAGAACCCGAAAAATCAGCCCCTGCCTCCGCTACGGGGGCTCTCTCGGGGCGTGCCTGGAACACCTGTGAGGCCGTCTTTGAGGCCTCTTGGGTCGTCTTGAGGACGTCTTGGGCCGTCTGAGCGCTCTCTTGGGGGTCTCTGAGGCTGTCTCGGGGCGTTCTTTGGGGCATCTTGGGCCGTCTTGGAGCGGCGGGAAACCGAACAGGCGAAAACCAAACATACCTTCAAAACCGAAGGAAAACTACAGATTTGTTACGCTTCGGGCTCTCCTGTGAAGCTTTTTGGGGGCCTCTCGGGGCGTCTTCTGGGCTCCCTGGACGTCGGGACGCCATATCGGGCGTCTCTGGGGGCTTTGGGAGGAGTCATTGGGGCGGAGAACCCGAAAAATCAGCCCCTGCCTCCGCTACGGGGGCTCTCTCGGGGCGTGCCTGGAACACCTGTGAGGCCGTCTTTGAAGCCTCTTGGGTCGTCTTGAGGACGTCTTGGGCCGTCTGAGCGCTCTCTTGGGGGTCTCTGAGGCGTTCTTGGGACCACTTGGGCCGTCTTGGAGCGGCGGGAAGCCGAAAATGCGAAAACCCAAAAACCCTTCAAAAGCCGATGGACAATTAATGATTTTTGATGTTTCGGGCTCTCCTGAAAAGCCTCTTGGGGGCCTCTCGGGGCGTCTTTTGGGCTTCTTGGGACGTCGGGACGCCATATTGGGCGTCTTGGGCCGATCTTTCGGTGACTCGAGGCCTTCTCATCTTGGGGCCGTCCGTGCCTCCCGAAGTGCGCTGCAAAAATGGGGCCGACTCCGGCCGTCGAGCGGCCGTCTTCCGCCGGCGTTCCGCCCGTGGCCGGGGCCATGTCCCGGGGGGTCCCCTCCCAGACCCCCCTAGGGGGACACTAAACGGGAAACCCTCCGCCAGGTCGGGGGAAAAATCGACTCCGTCGTG